TATTGCCTGAGGCGGACAAATACATGTTTGTTTTAGAATTTGTATATATTCAAAGACAAACAGGATCTATCAAGAATGTTTGTTGCTCTTAAAGCAATGTGACTTAGTTAATCCTTTTTAGTGTAACTTAGAGATAAATGGTATATTTAGTCACAAATATAGAAGCTCAGGAAAGTTCTCTTGGAACAGTCTGATGCATGCATTTCTCAGGGATTTTTCCTTACATCTCTTAAGTTAACTTGCCATTTAATTTGTCAAATACTATTGTCAAAATAAACTTGCCTTTGGTAAAGGTTCCTGACTGGGGAAAAACAACACTACGATAGGGTAGCACCTACAAAATAATTCACAGTATTACTTTTCCATATGTCATGAGGTAAGAAACGTATGACATTTTAATGTACAATCAAATGCCAGTGTTACTAGCTTATATTTAGTTTTCCTTATGAAGTGACCAATTTATTAATGTTCTGATACCATTATCTATAATGGCATTGCATGTAAAAAATTGTATATACCAGGTAGAATATAGTTACCAATTTCAGTTGAGTTATTTTAGGGGTTCACATGTTAAAGAGATGTGTAGCTAACTTTTTTAAAAGATAGAAATGATGTGCTATATAACTCAATTTAGAATGCTTACATATTTATTTTGTTACCTTATATCTAGATTACTTATTTTGGTTTGATTTTTTTTTTTTAAACAGATGCAAAGCTATTGTGGATCATTTTGGACAAAGAATAAGCGCTAACTATTTTATTGTGGAAGATAGTTACCTTTCAGAGAGTGTATGCACAAATGTGTGTTACAGGTATGTAGTAAAACAGTAAACATAGTAAATTTCTTTAAATAATAGTGTATAAAGTATCCAGCAAGTTAAATTTAAGAGATTATTGTCTCCTGCTTTATCTTTGCAGTACAGCTTAGTTCTGTGCATAGTTTTTCTCTTCTTCTATATACTTGAGGGCATATTGTATACTTTCTATGTTTAGGTTTTCTTAAATTGTCCTCTAAGTCATATTCCACTTTTCCTTGTTAAAAAATCCAGTAGCTCCAAGTGCGTTAGGGATTTCATATTTGTTAAAAAGTGTTTGGAAGGTGGAGGTGCCTATTGCTGTTCTCGCTTTAAATTTGTTCAGGTTTAGAAAAGTATTAAAAGTCATTGTTTTCTCTGATTTTTGTTGTTCTTGCCAAAAGCATTGGACATGTATACTGCCTTTGCCCTCAAAATATTGCAGACGAGATATTAGCCATACTGTAGTAGTAGTTGCAGTGCAGAAATAATCATAGGCAATGGAGGATTAGAAACGTCAATTCATGAACTCCACTCTAGTGCAATCCAAAGTGTCCTATGCTGTTTGGAACATAAAAAGTCCGGTAACATGCTGCTACTAATCTTGATCAAATAAACAAAATAATTTTTAAAAAATCAGTAGGATATTCAAGCTATTATTTTATGTAATAGCACTGGCTCATTTATTCATCATCTATTCTGGTCATTGAAAAATACTTCATTAATGTTCCAGATGTGGTCCTACTTCAGCAACAGGGAAAATGTCTGACTAATAATCCTATTAATAAAGATTATATGTTTAAATAGCCTTCCCACAGTATTATGTTTAGATTGGTATTGCCAAAACTATGAATTCAAATTGCTATTTTTTACGTTTTTGTGAAATGCCATAATTGTTTTATTTAATTGTAGGCAGATCTCCAGAGCAGTCCTCATTACAGATCAGACTGTACTAAACACAGATTCAGAGCAGCAGGTATGTATCAATTTTTTATCACTGATCTCTTTATGAATTGTATGTATTTAATATTGAGTTGTTGGTAGGAATTAATTCATGCTTTTGTTTCTCCTTGAATCCAATGTTTTAATCAGCTCTCTCTACTGATAATTGTTTAATTTGTTAGTTTCTATAAAAATATTAGGAATTTTATTTTATTTTATTTTAATTCAATGACTTGGATTTCCTTGTTTGGTTGGCACTATATTAATTAACAGAGTTACTAAACTCCTGTCTTTAAGGTAGTGCTTGCTTTTTAATAAACTGTTACCCTTAGTATTCTGTTAACTGTTAACTATTTATCTTGTCTAAATAGTTAACTATTTATCTTGTTAACTATTTATCTTTGTTCGAAGTTCTTTTGGTTTTTTTTAACATTCACTTTTACTGTTCGAAGTTCTTATTGTACGCTTTCAGATCCTTTAAATGTTTCTGCTTTGTCCGTCTTTGGAGACCTTAATTTTAAAGGATATTAATCTGTATTAAGTGTTTCTTCTGTACACTTCCTGTAGTCTTACAGGTTACATAGGATCTACAAAATAAGAACATACATGACAGAGAAGTCTGTTCTTCCTAAGTCCTGCTACTAGCAGTCCTGCATAAAAGTACTGCAGTCATTTTCACCTAACAGTGCTCTGCCCAGTGTTCAAAAACAATTTTGCAGTCTCTTGCCAACAAAGTTTCTAAACTCTCATCCTTTTGGAAAAGTCTGTGATACGAGGTTTTCTTTCTGTTGCGCTGCTGCAGACGTTCCTAACAAAGGTGGCCTTACTGACTTTGGTAGAAATACTTGAATGCTCAAATTCTACAGGATTGATTGCACAAATTATTACTAATAAATCAGAAAACAAAATTGTATAAATGTCTGCAGTTATTTGTCACCTTTTCTCAGAATTGTGTTGGTTGCCTCATCGTCCATGTTACTCTGCTTTAACATATGTTGTTCTTTCTGCTTGATAGGTTTCTATTTTGACAGTGCCTCCAGTGGATCTAGGAAAACCAGCAGTTTGCGTCATTGAGTTGTGTTCCTCAACCATGACATGCATGAAGGACAGTTGTAAGTACAGGGTATATGTAATCTTAACTATATTTTTCCCTTTGACTCTATAAACTCTGAAACAAAAGTTAAAATATGTGCGTATCATTCCTCTGCTGCACAATGACCAAGCTACTATCTGAGAAAACAGTGTGTACTGGATTAGTGTTATCAGCAGTCGAGAGAAATAGTCCATTGTCTTCTTTCTATAGCAGTTGTGCTGTTTCGTATGGCTTAGGAATCATACTACAAGATTCTTGTTGCATTCAATTTTTTTTAAATTTACATTTGATAATTATTTATTTAAAATCTTACTGTGATTTTCACGGTAATGAAGTTTATTATTCTTTATTTCCAAACAGATCTAACATCAAATTTTCTTTTTAACACTTATGTGGCTAATAAGCTTGATAGTTGTAGTCTTATTAGTACTGGGACAACATTCTGTTTGCTGTACAGTAATTATAAAATAGCACCAACAAAGAGTTTTTGTTACGACTGCTGTGGGTTTTTTTTTTTTAGATTAAAAAAGTATTAGAATTCCATATTTTGTTTGTTATGCAAGATTTTTAAGACAACTGATGATGTAGCAGAATGGCAGGTAAGGTTAGTGGAGAGCTCCAGCAGGATGTTTCTTCTCCACTGTAACTAGCTAAGATTGTGCAGTCTTCAAGTCAAAAAGATTTTTTTTTTTTTACCTTAAAAATGTTTTCTTTCTAAAACTTTCTGCCAAGAATTTCTCTTACCACTATAATTAAAGCACCAAAACCCACCCAAAGTACTTTCTGAAATCATTTCTGAAAAAACCTGTAAGCAAACAGGTGGGATCTTAGTTAACATAAATGCATGTTTGTTTTTTTTTTTTTCCTTTCAGAACTGCCTTTAAGATTTAAGAGAATCTTTATGCCATATGACTCTCTGGCTTCACAAAAAAAGCTACAAATTTTTGTTTTCATAAGGATAGGTTCTCAGTACAAGCATCAAGTATATTTCAGTATTATTTCTAGCAGAATATTTTGGAGCATATGCTGCAGTTTCTGCTTTTTTCTTAATCAGCATATACTGAACAATTAATATGTAGGTTAATAGACTTATTTTCACTTATAATATTATTTCACAATAATAAATTTTTCCTTCAGTAGATTAAAAAAAAATTCTAAAGCATGTAAATCTTACTGGTAGTTTGCCATTAGTTTGTATTTTTTTGAAAATGGACTACCTTAGCTGGACTATTATATTGAAGTACCTGAATTACACTGTATTTGTGGGCTTTTTATCTTCTGAAAGTTTTGGTGGAGGTGCGATTATGTCCCATTATGAGATTGGGAGGGAAGGAGTGCATCATGATATATTTGAGGTAAAGTTATAAAAATTCTTTTAAGAACTCTGTTATTGTTGTCTGCTGCATTAGATTCTTTAATTCTAAAAATATCTGAGAGATCACCTTTCTAGAAGGGACATCCCAGTATTTACATTAACAGTTTTCTATGTACAGAGCTTTATGACTCTGTTGTTGGTATTTTATGTGAACTTGAACTACATGAGCAACAAAATGTTCTCATTGGATATTTACTTTTCGTTCCAAATTCTTCTGAATTCTGTTAAATAGATTACCAATTTGGGACACTATGGAAGATAAACAGAATTAGAGGTTACCTGACCTAATGTTTTTTAACAAAAAATAAGTAACTGCAATAATAACCGATTTATTTTACTGTTACCTAGGCTTGAACTCAGTTCTTTGCATATGAAAGAAGAGCAAACTAAGTGATTAAGTCATTCAAAGTTATATTTCCTACTTAAATAATAAAAAAAAGATAACCCTGTAATTAAGAACTTACTGCTATAAAGCATATTGTTAATATTTATCCTTTAAATAGCTGATTTACTTTATTTAAAGGTTCACAAAATACATATAGCAGGAAGTGAAACTAAAGAAGGATTGATGTTCAAGTAGATATAAATTATTAATTTCATGAGAATTTCTGTGGTGCTGAAAAATTAAGGTTTCTGTTATTTACTTTTCTCCATAAATTCTTTTCATTTCAGAAGAGAAGGTACTACATTCCTTAATGACATTTGTCTTCATATATTGAAATAATGTAGTTGTGTTTTAGGTATAGCTGAGTTCTAGTTATGGGACATATTTCATAATTTTTTAAAAACTTTTACATCATTATCTGTAAATGGGTTTTAACCTGACTGATTTCTCCTTCAAACAATTATTTAAGATAAGTATACAAATACATCTACTCTTTGATCACACTGCATAAATGACAGGCACATAATCTGTATTGCCAGTTGAGTGGAACCAAACTCCTTCACTTGCCCTAAAAATTGAGACTGTAATGATGAAATCATGAACTAAACTCATCGTTCTTCTTGCTAGAAGAATTACTTGAAGACAAATGTTGTCAACCACTGTAACTAATGCAGTTATACCTGAGTAAATCAAATATAATCAAAATATATACTGTTGACTGTGACTCATAGACTCATAGCCATAACCTTAAAGATAATGTAAAATATTTTATAGAAAGTAAATGATGTGAACTTTAGTGACTTATAGCTGTTTTTTTTGAGGAAAGAATAGATTGTATTGCAATGTTTGGGGTTGTACACATTTAGTTAAGGTTACAAGGAGACTTTCATGATCACCACCTGTTTTCTTTTACTTTTTTTAGTACATATTCCCTTTAGACAGAAGGTTTGGCTTCGGTTAAATAAAAAATGAATATTAATGTCTGATTATAATCTCTGTGTGTGCAATCTGGAAGAAGAGCAGCACGAAGGGTTAAATTTCTGCTCCTCCTGGAGTCAGCGTCAAACTTCCTGTGGCATAACTGCAGCCAGAAATCATTCAAGATATGTATGGTGTACTTGTAAATAATGACACAAATATAGCCAGATTTCAGAGTGAAAAGAGAAAAATGTCATACGGATTTAACGCCATAGCTATACATTGCTATTAAATTGATCAGAAATGTACAGTAACAAAGAAAAAATGAATCAGTTTAAACTTTGTACAAAGATATGTTAAACTTCTTCATGATTCTCTGACAGATACTTCTCTGCTGATAAGTTTCCAGACGACCGTTCACTGTCAAATGAGTCTGTTAAGGTAGTTTTAGAAAAAGCTTTAAGATGAGACTTATTATATCTGGGTGAATGGATGTAAAATCAGGTGGGATAAAGCAGCAGAGTAGCTGGTTCTGTGTTTGAGTAGAGACCAATGGAACAGAAAAGAGGTCAAGAGCTGCATTAGGTGATTATCTTTTCTAAGGAGTCAGCAACTTCACTAGTTTGCAAAACGGAACAAATAAAGGAATAGTGTGTTCCATGAGGAATCTGTTTAGCAACTTTATTTTCATGAAAACAAGTACATGAGTAAGAAATTTAAATATCAAATCTACATTATTCAAGGAAAACTGTGAATTTTCACAAATACAAAATTGGATTTAGTGGCATTGATTTGCCCATGCTGTAAGGTGAATTTTGATTAATTATACAGTTCTACAAATGTGTTCTTGTGGTCCAAAATCTTTCATGTCATCTTTTTCCAGTATGGGTTTGCTGTACTCTGTGATCTGTTTCTGATGTGTACAGAGCACCTCTAGAAATCAAGTACTTGGAATCAATTTTGCAAATTATCAGAAATCCTTACTGGCTCACCTAACCTAATTTCACCCTTACCTAAACACAAAACGGTTGTTTCTTGCATCCTATAAGAAGGTGAATGAATAAAGTGTTGTAGAGCTTTTTTGTTATGTTGTACCAAGGGATTGCATACGTCATAGCTTATATCGCAGAACAGTTTTCTGATATTCAGCAGTGCTTATCTTTAAATGTTCTCTAGTTTGTCAAAACATGACAGTGTTCCCAGTGTTCTTCATTCTCCATGTGGCTGGAGAGAAATAGTTAACTGCCAGCCCTCTTGAGCTGTAACTTAAACCATGAATCCATTCACTTCATCTCCTATTTACTGTTTAGTACAATAAAAGAAATGGAAGTCTTGCTCAAACTTTTTACTTCAGTGGAGAAAGATAGCTTCCTACATACTCCTGTACAGCCAGACTTAAACTGTGAGTAGCCAAATTTCCAAATTCCCACTCAGTCTCAATTTAGCTCTTAAAGGAGAGCATTGATGAAAGTAGTGATATTTGTGGGTTTAGTATGTTGTTGAACTATTGGACTGTCAACACTGATAAGAATGTTCTTGGGGTTTCTAGAGGTCATTAATGGCAAATACGATGTGTTATCCAGATTCTTGCTGCTGCTTTTCCTGGTATCAATAGACCCTGTTTCACAGAATGACATATTTTCTGTCTGCACTGCTGATGTTAAATTATACATCCATCTTACCAACATATATGGAAGAGAGAGATAATTATGAGATGTATTAAGAAAATTTCTCTATGTGGTATATATACACTGTATTTCCATAATACAGTACTTCTCTGGTTTAAAGAAAGTGATTTATACGAAAAGCAATGATTTCTAAAAGCTTGCTGTGCCTTTTAGAAATTGTAAATGATATTTATGTATCTGTATATTGGTGATTGTAATTAGTTTGTGTTCTCTTTTAACAGACTTAGTCCATTTAACCTGTCCATCAACTAAAACTGCTAGGGAAGATTTAGAGCCTGTTGTACAGAAGTTATTCAACCTAAATACAGAAAAAGGTAAAAATAAATAAATGAAGTATAAAGAGATTATTTTGCAAACTTGTAACTAAAATATCTGTTACTGAACATCTGAATCTGCCATCAGAGTCAACATATGGTGAGCTGTTATTTAGATATCAGCATCTCAAAGTAAATGAATCTATTTTGAGAGTGAGGTTGATTAGACAAAGTCAGGTTTTTTGTATTTTGTGATCTAATGTTCCAGGTCTTCTTCAGCTGTGGTTTAACTTCAATATACAAGGACCATGGCTGTAAGTGTCTATGACCTTTTTAATTTTTCACATGTTCTTTTTCATGGAAACATATTTGCTTCTCAGCATGTCTTTCAAAGGTGCAGTAGTGAAATGAAATATTTGTGAATCTGGTTTTTTGCACTATCCTGTTTTTAGTGATTTCTATCACTTGGGTAGCCCTAACAAAAGTTATCAAAACCCCAAAAGTTAGTGATCTGCTTTTCTCCTCCAGCTGCCGGATGTGCACAGTGCTATAAGCTTCTTAGTTTTCTTTTGCCTTCACTTATTCTAAGACTGTTGCTCATCCATTTGTTGTCTTCTTCAAGTGCTTCCTTGTTTGCTTCCCTGTTTTTAGTTGAAATTCTGTGGATTCTGCTTTAAGCAGTGGAAGCATAAAGTTATTACACACTGCAATGTTATCAGGAAGATAGATTTCCAGTGATTTGCAATAATGAACTATTTGGCCCTAAATTCCAGGAAACCTTGCCAGCTACTTTCATGAACTTTGACCTTGAGATGGACAGTTTCACAGTCCCAGAGGAGAGTAGCAGTTGACAAAGCAGTTGTTGCCTAGAAAGAAATTGTCCCTGAGATACTTTGAGCTAGTTCCACAGAAGTCTGAAATTTAATCCCGAGATCTTGAATTTCATCATGGTTTTGGTAGATGCTCATAGAATAGGTAGTGTCCACATAGAAGATGTTGCTGTGTTCCAACCCTGGCAAAGCATTTTTAAATATAGCGTGCTCATACTTAAATACAGTAAATCATAGTTCTTCTATGAGAAAACAATACCTAGCTGTCAGTGGAGGTGTTTATGTTCATATATATGCAAGTTATAAGATGTGGAAGTATTGTGGAAGTATTTATAATTGGTTTGCTTATAATATTTGCTGTTATGCTTCATTCATGAAGCATAACATGAATTCAGGTAGAATTTTCTCCTGTTAAAAAAAAAAAGCAGTCTTTTATGTGGCCAGTCTTTCTTTTTCCTCTCAGGGCTCTGTAATCAAGAACAGTGTTTCATGAAGGATTGAGTTCAGTTTTTCACAAGTTTGTTTTTCTGTGTTGTTTTCCATTTTTAAATTTTTTTCCCTCTACCTTTTAATGAAAAAGCAAATATCTTATTGTTTTTGTCAGACAATAAAGTGCTTTTAATAGGAAGTAAAGTGTTAAATAATATGCATTTTCTTTCTTTTTTGCTTATGGGAAAGGCATCTTTGATGTCCCAAAGATAGAAATTTTTTACTAGGTTTGTAGTACAAGAGCCTTTACAAAACAAATACGTAGAATGCAACTAGGGTTTGTAAATAGAAAATTTTATTAGATTGGAGAGCTGCAAACACTTTTCATGTTGATATTTGTTAATTTAAAGCCCGCTAATTTCCAACTTCTAATATTTAACATATATCTTCATTTCATATATCTACATTTTCAGGACAGTGCCCTGTGTTTCAAAGACTCAATTGGTGAAGGAAAGATTAGCTTGCAGTTTAGTGTCTTCTAATCATTTGGGGGGGGTTAGCATTAATCTTAATGTTTAAAGTGATCCAGTTTTGAAATGATATATTGTTTAGAACCTGACTGAAATTCTTCTGTAGAAACTCTGTGATCATAGGGGTCCTCAGGTGCACTGAGGCACTGAAAAGCTAGTTTTCACTGACACATAGGCCTTTTTATCATCAGGATGAGGTAGTGGTCGTATTTTAATTAAAATGTCAGAACAAATACTGTTGGAGTTATTGAAAATGAATCACCAGATAAAGTGAGCACTGGGCCATGGCAGGTCAAAGAGGCAAAGTCACCTGGAGAAGAGGACTCCATTCATTTTCCTGCCTAAATGAGGAAGAAGTAACTTTTATGAGCAATGTGAACTTTTAAATATATTAAAGAGCATCTTGCCCTGTATTAAGGCTCAGACTTTCACAGGCTGATGAATTTAATTTATATTTCAAACTCTTCAGTATGGTTAGCACCTATTTTTTAAAAAATATTTGACAGTTCTAAAAAGATACTGAAGGAATAGCATAGATTTATCTCTTTTTTGAATTCAACTGCTTGAAAATACTGTTTTGAATGCCGTTGTTATCTAGAAGTTCTTTCCTTGGAAAGAAGTAAATCTCGCAAGGTCTTTTACAAGCTTCATTTATTTTAGAGGAGGTAAAATACCAAAAAGGGGACAGCAAATATGCCAAACAAATAGTACCTATTACACTAAGAATATATGTTGTGTATTCCTCCATTGCATTCTGCACTGTTAAAAAGTGACCTTCATCTTTCCAGAGGTTTTTCTGCCTGTGTGCGGAGGGGTTATATGGATGTGCAAAGTGACTGCAAGAAGGTACAGATGATGAAGAAGCAAGATGTAGTTTATGATCATTTTGTATTCATAATAAGCATTGTAGCACAGTGCAAGTCCTCAGTAAGCATAGATAAATAGAAATTAATCATTTATTTTCATTTAGCAGTATTTCCACAGTTTAGAGATTCTACATACTGCGTATCACACATCTCAAATGGAGTACTTCTGGGTTTTGGTAATTCTTTATCTGCAGTTAATTTGGGGGGAGGTATTCTTTGTGGATTTTTCTTGAAAATTTCTTTTATTTAAACCATGAACATTAGTTAGTCTCCTTAGATTGGCTTGAAGACACTCAATCTTAAAGCACACAAAGGTCTGTTATGAGAAGAGTTCCCATACAAAGATAAGCTATTAAATGGGGGGGGTGGGGGGTGGGGAGGGGGAAGTATACATCAAAAATATCTTTGCATATGGAACGCAATAGCTTCAAGTTGGCACAGCCCCTGGAGGACTTGTTCAGACCGTCATATGCTCATGGAGTTTATCCAGAGTAAACTAGATAACATGAAGTCGAAAGGCGTTAAATTTAGACCAAGCTTCTTGGTAGTGTGCATTTAGGTGATAATTGGTTCTTATGTGGCATAGTGTGTACAGAATAAGTAGAGTTTACATACCTATGGTTGTAAAGGAGAAGACAAGTGTGATGAGAGAGTACCTCAGAAAAGAATGGAAAGTAAAATTAATTGGCTTTTTAAAGAAAAAAAATTACTTTATTACAGTAGTTCCAGGTTAATAAATTGACTTTTAGTATGCTAGATTACATATTTCCCTTATTACACGTGAACGTTGATTACTGGAAACACTTTTTTTCTTTTCAGAGACTGAAAATGAAGAACTAGAAAAACCTAGAGTCCTCTGGGCAGTCTACTTCAACATGAGAGATTCTTCAGGAGTTGACAAAAATTCATATGATGGCTTACCCTCAAATGTTTATGTCTGTTCCGGACCAGACTGTGCTTTAGGAAATGACTGTGCTGTCAAACAGGTTGGGCAGATGAATTTTTTTGATTGCAGAACTTTCATTCGAAAGACCTAAGGAAGTCCAATACAGTCTACTTTTGTTCTGGGTTATTCTGCTTTATGCTATGTAATTAGTACTAATACAGCTATAAAACTTCCCAGCTAGACATACAAAAATCTTACTTAATAAACAAAGTGAATGTCAGTGGGATTGAGAATGGAGTGAACTTGAGAAAAGGCCAGTTGATGCAGTAACATTAACAGTAGCAGATAGTTAATCTGAACAGGTAAAGGGAACCTAGAAGGCAGCAGTACCTGAAGATTATGATCTTGGGAGGATGGTTACTTGCTCTAATACTGTGGAAAGGAAAAACTGTAAAATAATTCAGAAATATAGATGATAACTCCCCAAAATATGTAGTCTTTCACCTGTAAGGTTAAAGAGGAGGTACAGTAGTAAAGCAATACAAATCAAAGGTCAGAAAAGCCTATCTACAGTTCAAATTGGAAGGATCGTCAAAGTGGTTTAATGCCTGCAGGACATAGTCACAAACCTAAAACCTATTGGGGAAAAAACCCCAGCGTATTTACTAATCTGGTACATTAAGCTACCTGTCGCCATTTACCTTCTCTTTGCCTTAGTATCACTGGATTAAAAATTATATGTAATTGTGTCTCTGAAGGAATTGAGGGGAATGTCATTCTATTCATGACCTTAAGATAGTATTTGGCACCAAATCACACTCAGTTCTAATTTTTAGTTCTCCGTATTTGGGTGTCTACATATCTAGTTCCTGCTAACTAAAATCCTGAACTTGAGAACCACTTGCAACTTGCCTAGTAGTAGGCATACCATACCAGTACTCAATTTAAGACAAACTACTAGTGCGTTGAAATTTGAGGTGAAGAGTGAAAGCTCCCTAAACAAAACTAGGTAGAGGAAGAGATCGTGAAATAACCACCTTCTGTGCTGGCAATAGGCAGAATATGTAGGGACACCAGATCTTCAAGGGTGGGTATGTAGAAATTCACAAAGAACTTCGTATCATACCTCTCTTTGTGCCTTCTCTATTACTGTCAAGCAGAAGACAACAAGATCATGCGAATATGTAGATTACGACTTGTTCAACAAAAGGTAGCTACAGGAATGCTTCTCCTTTGCTCTTCCATTCAGAGATCTACCTCAATAAGGAAGGTATAAATTCTTAGGCAAATCTACCGCAGCAGTCACTGTGGTGTCAGGGTGCTTTCAGAGCTAACGCAAGAACACTTTTACATCTTTGTAGGATTAACTTAGACTAGTCATTTTTAAAGCTGTTTTTTTTAATGGCCATGTTCAGAGAATGTGCATGCCATCTTCTAACCACTTGCAGGATTTTTTATGACTTAAGTCATAAACCTCTTAAAAATAAGATTTTTAAAGTGGAAAGGCTGACATAGCCTGAACTGTAGGGTCAGAATAATTAAGAGCTAATAGTACCCTTCATTTTGCTTTACAAGGCAATAATTTGCCTCCCAAAGAGGATAAAGAACAGTAAAGACAAAAAATAATGCAAGACAATTATTATAGTAGCAAGTTTTAAATTGTAAATTAGTTCTTTTCTAAATGAGGTTTTTTAACTATTATTTAAAACAGTGCAAGTTAAAAGCTATTTAAATACACTTAAAAAATAGCCTTTTTCTAATTCTGATAGCCACCTTTTCTAGCATTCAGCTTTGTCTTACCTTAAGAGCTCTTTTTCTTACCAATGAATAATGATACTATAGATCAAGCTGTGTTTAAATATTCTAGGTGCCGTAGTTAGCCTTTGTGTTAAATCTGTTGACCATCAGTGAGATAGATGTTAAATAAGCAGATCGTGGAGGAGAAACAATCAAGAGTCTAAAACACTGCCTTTCAGAAAGAGTGGATAGAAGCTACATTTTCTTGAACCTGTTTTAAATTTTGAAACAAATGGTCACTAGTTAAAGTGAAAAATATTTTAGTGTAAACATGTTTAAAATTAAAAGTCATAAGAGAAAATAAAAGTGAGGAGCATATGTGACAACAAAGTGAAGAATAGGCTGAAGGTAAAGCAGAACTCTCTGTTAGAATACACCCTTCCCATCTAGCATGCAGGTACCTTTTAGACAAGTGGAGGAGGGAAATACATGTAAGTTGGTGTGCCTTCTACCCCCAAATCACTTTCATCTTCCTAGCAATGGGATGGAAGTCTCCAAACATGAAATATTTACAAACTCATGGATCAGAACACTTTAAAGAAAGAAACAAAAAACTACTGTGTGTATTAGTCTTGGAGATAGCTTGGAAAATTGAATCTAATTTCTCTAATCAATTCTGTGTTTACTGTTTTAATGATACTTCCCATGATTTATGTTTTCATTACCATTAGTATTACTAACTTCTATATGTCATGCTCTTTGATTGTATTGATGATACATTATTTAGGAGGCAATACACCACAACTTCTACAGACGATTATCCATCTACAGCTTAGTATACAAATGACTTCATTCGTGTTTTATTTTAATTTAGTGTTAAATTCCTAGTATAATATTGAATTAATTTTGATGTCTGCGTTTACTTTCCCTGAGGATAGGCTAAATAAAACATAAAGTGCCACTTACGATTCCTTGAAATTCTATACGTATGGATCAAGTAAAGCATCTGGCTTCCAGTTTTTTATTTTTTCACTGCTACAACCTGACATGAATTATCATGTTCTAAAGTAGTATGTTGCCTGAAGTATTTCAGATTTCTGAGGCATCTTCATAAGAGGAAGCATTAAAATTGTCATGCCAATATTTGTCCTTTAACCTGTTTACGTTTTTTTCTGTATCTGGAAGGATTTCAGAGTTATTCAAGTGTGTCGTATTTCAAACTGCTGTTAGTTTGGTAGCGTTCTCTGTAAAAGTTGCTATGAAAGCCCATACAGCTTGTCTACATGCCATCAAGGTGCGTAGCTGGGATACAGTAAAACAATAACAAAACATAGTTTTATTCAACTTCAAACAGTTATTAAATTAGAGTATCTATACAAGTGCTTTACACGCTTATGTCTTAATGCTTAATTCAAACGTACACACTTGAAAGCTGGTACACTTAACTACTAAATATTGAAGGAACTATTTACTAACTTAATTAGTTACAATTAAGTATCAAAGTGTTATAATGAAGGAGCTGTTAAATTATTATTGGTTATTCTGTGTGACTTCAGTTGGATAAGTTTAACTTAAAAAATTGGTAGACCTGAAAGCACTCTATACCATTAAATTGTTCAATTATAATCAATGTCATGATGTCCTACATAACATACTGAGAATTTCTTTCCACGTTCAACCTCATAATTATTTGACCATTTTTGGAGTGGATATCCACTGACTAATTGGAGACTGAATAACTGTTGAGAACTGCATAGGAAATGTTTGTCTGCTCTAGTTTGTCATACATTTAGTGCAAAACATGACACTTTTCTTCAATATTCTATTAAATATAATAATAGTTGAAGTATATTTTGGAGCTTCAAGTTTATTTCAAGTTTGCAGACTTGAAATAAAAGTCTTTCTCTTACCTTCAAAAACTTAGTTTTGTAAATTTCTTGTAGGATATTTGTACCCTCTTGCCCCCTAGACTTACTAGGCAAGGTTTTCAAATTACAAAACCATGTTTTTGAAGTAGAGAATAGAATTTTTTTTAATATTTTTTTCATATACTAATATTAATAGTTTTAAACAGTTTTAAATGGGTATGGAAGAGTGAAATTTAGGAAGCAGAATGAAAAATTAAATTGAACTGAGAGTAGACAGGGTCATTTAAGCAGTTAATAATGGAGTCCTACATCCACGTGCTGGTGGGCAGTGAAGTTTATCACGGAAAGCTGTTTGGTACATGCCCAATGATGTATTAATCTGAAAACAATTCCCTCTTGTCCAGGAATCCGCATCATGTAATCAGCCTTTGCAGTTGGCATTAACTGACCCTACTGTCAGCTTTTTCAGTGCAGTGTCTGGTAGCAGTATGAATATAAAGATTAAATGCATTCTTGCCTATGTGGGAACTCTCATCACAGGTCGTCTTTAGGGCATAGTTTACTGAATAGACAAAATAGAGAGGCAATATTCCTTTGCCTTTTTAGAAACCCAAAACATAACTGTGTTCTGCATCAGTTGTCTCTATTTGCCTTAGAAGCTTAAGGACTTGGAAAAGAAAACCTTTATAGAAATGTGAAGTGCGTGTTGATTCAGTAAAAAAATTCCTGAGCTCTCTAGCTTTTTTTTTTTTTTAAGATAAGCTTATAGGTAGGTTATTTGCACAAGAACATGTGAAACTATTCAACATTAGTTAACAAAGCTGCTTGCATTCTTGTGGTTTTTTTAAAGGATTAAGGAGTAAGTGGCATTGTAAATTAAATCCTTGAGCTATATCTTAAGAGTAACTGTCTTTTTATCTAAATAAAAGTTGCTTACACATTTCTTAGAAAGGCATAATTTGTGCACATAGGTATACACACATAATACATTGAAATTACAGACTTTTTTTGAATAAATTATAAATGTATCGTATACAAATATGCATATATTTTCAATGATAATATTCCATTGGATGAGAATAGTTCTCAGTTGAGCTATCTATGAGCTGTTCAGAAAAACAGAAATGGAAATTTTTTTGTAGTTTTTAAATTTGAGAAGGAATCCCCTATAGATATGATGTAGATTGTACTTATTAACAATTTCCTGGCTTTGGTTGTCATGTGAAATAGATTGTTCTCTCTGGAAAGAGGCAAGATCTTTCCCATGCTTTGCATGTGACTGCACCTAGGGATATTTTTATAGTGGAAAAGATCATTTTGCTTGCAAAAAATCAATTTTGTTGTTCTCAATACAGTGTAGAATGACCAGCATTTTTTAAAAAGCCCTATGCTGTGACTTTCCTAGTAGAACAATGTAAAAGGTTAGATTGTTTTTTCTTTTTTGAGGACTGCAAGAAGGAGTGGATTTCCCATGTGTTTACAATACTGTCAAAGTATTAAATCACTATTGATTTGAAAGAACAGAGGGTAATCTTAAATACCTGTAAAATATTGCTGCAAGGTATTACATTTCAAGGTAAAGTTTATTTTATGCTTTTTTCCTGAATAGGCTGAGACTATTTTCCAAGAAATGTTTCCTACAGAGGAATTTTGCCCACCACCACCAAATCCAGAAGATATTATTTATGATGAAGATGAGATTGCGCCAGAAGAGTCTGGATTCAGTAATTCACCAGAGACAAAATCTGAACCCTCAACTGAGGAAAGCAGTAGCGGAGGTAGTACTGCTTTTAAGAAAGAAGATAATGAGTAATGGATTAGCTCTGTTCTCTTAGCAAAAGAGGAGGTTGACCCAAACTAAAATGTAAGGGAGGAAGGGTAAGAAAAAGAGGTTTTAAAAATCTTAGCCGTACTATTTGCGATTGCCTTACTTTCCTTAGCTTGAATAATCTTTCTCTGTCAAACAGTTTAATTGATAGCTAAGACGTTTCTAAATAGTCATAGGTTCACCAGATCCAGGGGTGTTTGTAGCTAAACAAAAATCACAGAACAAAGCATTTGAATTTAAAATGCTAAAATAGGATTCATGATTTGTTGAGAGAATTTGGTTTTGTTTTAAATCTTGGAAGGAATCATCCATCTTTTAAACAGTCAACAAGTCAAATCTAACCAAAAGCAAAAATGTGCAAGTTTGCTTACCAGTCAGAATATGATCTTCTGATACAACATGTCACAGTTCTGCTAGAAACATTGGATCTGTGCTAATTAAACAGTTGAAGGTGAGCTTCACAATCTGTCCTTCAAAGCGGTTTTATGAATGGAACTTAAAGGCAATAATATTGACAATTCTGGAGTGGCTTTAGAATATGTAATAGGTGTCGTGTTTTATTTGTATAACGAAAAATTTCTTGTATGGCTTTGAAACCAAAGCCATAATTTAGAAACAAATATAATCCTGTAGTTGTTCCTCACATGAAACTGTTTTACATTCAATTTTTTTTTTTTTTAATAACATCTAATAGGTCACACATTTTCACTAGTGACTTAATTTACTCTAGTCAGGAAAATAGCACAATTTAAACTTAATGCTATATTTCCCAACAAAATTTAAAATCATAAATGGACCGTACCTGTTGTTAGTTTCCCTGGATTTGTTGCAGTGTTTGGGCCTTTAATAAGCCAGTAGTTCATTTTTTGAAGTATGGTGTCTGAGAAGTTTAGATGATCATTAATTGAGGTTTTTTGTGGTGGGGAGAAGGTTCAACTGATAATTCCAAAGGGTTGTATTGATCCCAGTTAATAGGATTAAAATTAGTGCGATAGCTATAAATTATGCATTTTGTAATGATAAATCATAAAGCATTTATACAATAAAATTTATTAAAGTATTTATAAGCCTAGTTTGTATGAAAAATTACAAAATGAGAAAGCTGCTGTTGTAAATGACCATGATAAACTTGCACTTCTTCTGAACAATGCTTGAAGCTAGGTATTCAGATTCTGAAAAATATTTAGCATTTACTTAAAGATTTACCTTAAAATGTACACCAAATAGATCAGTAGTGTATCTAAATATAGAGATCAGTGAATTTTGATGAGTTGGGGTTTAAACTTCTACCTGAACTTCGATATAGTTCTAGCAGTGCTTAAATACTGTATGTAAATAAAAAATGCCATTGAATAATGAATATTCAGCACTGCCTGAACTTGACACATCCAGGCTTTTGTACAGTTTCGCAGTGCACGTCCCTGCCTTGATAATGGCTTCATGCCGTAAAGGTTAATTTTTTTTTTTTTTTTTTTACAGTATAACTGATAAGGTTAACTTCACTTTGTCTTGCATCATGATACGTTGTCTGATTTGCATTTCAAAAACCGGTTTGTTAGTGTTTACATTCTTTGCTTATTGAATAGGTACCATTGTGTGTATAATCCCAAAGTCCTCAGAAAAATATGTGGTTGAAATATTTCCAACGTTAAACAACAGTTATCTTTGGATGCTTGTGATTGAGCAGTTATTTATATATAGTGATAAGCAGACTGCCTCTTCACTTAGCTGTAATTTTTATGCGTATTGGAAAGCATGAGTGTATGGCAATTGTATTTAACATCTACACATATGTAAAAGAACTAAGTGGAGGACTTAGTTCCTGTTTGTCTTTCAATAGTAGGGATCATAGTTGAATTTTTCATCTTCTATGTTTACAAGGAAATCGTTTGATGAAAATTAAAGGTTTGCTTGCAAGTGCATTTTTCTGTGTTTTCTTTTAATTATGCAAGAAAAGCAGTTCGTTTGTTAGCTGAGATTTCCTGATAATTCTGTTGTCTACTTTCATCATGTTGACATTTGTAATAAGATTGAAGTTTACATGTGTGACAGTAGGTTTATATAAGTTAGCAAGTTTATATAAAGTAGCATCTTAGGGCTTCATGTCCATGTGAAGCAAAGTTTGGAAATACTGCAAATTTGATTTTTAGGTAAGACAGAATAATCTACAAGTTGTCGGCTGTGACTTTACACTACATTGATTGCTTAAAAACTGTTTTCATGTCTATTTGGTATGGTGAATGGAAACATAAAATGTTTTTCCTATGGTACTTGAGTACCCAATAGCTCACTTGCAATAGCAGTAGATAAGACTGTTGATCTTCGTATTTTGCAGAAATCATGCACTGAACTGCATTTTGTTCTTGCTTTAAATGATTTAAGCATACAAAGTGAGGGTTAGGCTTATTTGAAGTAGTTTTTAAGGCTTGTCATACAGGATGTATTCAAAAGATAACATGACTTTTTAAAAACTGGCAATTTATCTGTAGGATTATTAATAAATCAAGTTAAAGAAAGATAAGGTTAATTGAATTTTTAAACAAGTAGCTGTATTATCCTTCAAGCACCTTGGAGCTCATACAATATTCACACCTTTTTTTTTTTCTAAGGAGTGCTTTGATATGTTTGAATTCCTTTTTTAATGAGTACTTTCTTTTTAACTTGGTTAATTGGATTTACCCTTAATATTCAAACGTTCAATTTTATACTGTTTTCTCTGCTGTTGTATTGCCTTGTCTGTATGACGGCAATTAGTTACTGTTCCTTTGGAAGTATTTTCAGCCATGAAGCTGCTACGTCTGCTTTTTCTGGTGATGATGATGCTTAGGGCCATTTGACAGGTAATCATTAGAACTTAGATCCTTGCAGACTATGGGGTCTTTTCTCCTATCATTGCAGGGGGATTTATGTAGGTAACTCCTATTAATGTTAATGGGACTTGCATGTGTAAATCCTCCTTGCATCAATGGGAAAATTGACCCCTGAAAAAAAACATCTTCATGTTAGACTTGCTGATTCAGAAATGTCCAGGCACTGTCAGCTCCTGTGTGGAAATGTGATGGAGCACGTGCTTTGTGCCATTTCACTGAAATGCTCTGAAGAGGACTTGGGGAATTTTCAGGGTTTTTATCTTTTATATTGTGTTTTATGTTTTCCATGCACTTCTGAATCTTGTCAGAGTTCCTCTAATGATGCTTTTTATGTAACTAGTATCAATTTCACTTTCTATACTCAGGAGGTTGCATGGCTCCTTCTGCTTCGGCTTTCATTGTATTTTAGGCCCTTCTCTCTCCTCTCCAAATCTTTTTACATCAGCAATGTGAGTTGCAACAGCTTAATTTCAAGAACAATTTGCTAGTAATGTATTGATTAATGACAAGTCAGAAGTATTAAAATACTGTTTTCACACAATAAGAGGCTAGGTCACTTACAATACATAATCTCAACTGTTGAAAGGATAAAGTCAATTTCCTCAACACTTTTCCAGGCTGGGAGTGGGAAAACATGTGAACTACCCACTTTCCTCAAGTGATGGAAAGAAGAAAGGAGAGACAGACAAACAGATGGAAATCTTTACTTAGGTGTGTATGATTTCAAGAATAACTTTTTTAATGTGATAAAAAGTTACCACAGAAGGATACTTTTAGCTGTAGAGATAAGTAGTACGAAATGGTTAGCCATGTGGAATTCATGTTGTCAGCCTCATATCTAGCAAAAAAAAAAACTTTTGGTGGAAATAGAGCTTATTAGCAATTCCACCATTATGTTTATTTACAGGCTGCCAGTTCCTGTTTATAAGAGTGACTGGTTCTTCAAAATCTGGATGGGGAGCCAGGCAGGAATGTTGTAAATCTCGATGACATTTGAGATTTAGAAAGTTGACAGTGAAGTATCAGGAAGATGCAGTTGTTGACTGCATGGGAGTTCTGATCAGAGGAGACTTTAATAGAAAATACTTTTCCTGTCACAATTCTAACAGACAATATATTTTACGCTACTTGCATACATTGACAGAAAAGGTGGAAGGTATCAACCTAGGTATATATCAAGCCCCAGATGTATTTGAGTAAACAATGCTTGTGTAGACAATGGTTGACTCCCAGTGTATATAATGCTGCTCAAGTGGCAGTTTTATGTAGTTATGTAGGTGTCTTCTCAATCTTGGGGAAAAACTTCTTTAAGAGTGTTGCAAGTTTTATAACTGGCCAGTATACTGAATTCAGTAGTATACTACTTCACCTGATTTTAGTTTTTCCTATTACCTGTCAGATTTCTTTTTACTCAAAAAGATTTAAGTATCAAGTAGAACTAAAATACTTTCTTACAGTCTAATCTTTTGATTACCATAAGAGGCATACAGATAATGCTGATTTTTACAAAATCTCAGAACATCCACATTTTTAGATACAGATTTTCGGGATCTCATACTTGCTTCTGAAATGCCACCCCATAATTCTTAATATATTTGGGTCTCTGGAGAAGGCTTTAGTGCTGTTCCTCCATTCTGTATGGTTAAGACTTCAGTAAGTGGGGCATACCAAAGGCTATGGACACTCCATCTGTCTTCTCAAACAGAGGAGGCTTCCCTTCTGAGGTCTTAGTGCATGATAGCAATCACTACTGGTGGCTAACAAATGTGGCTTCGGCTTTTATAGCTGCTTTTTTGCTGCTCCAACTTCAGGAAGCTTATTCTCTAGTTGAGTACTGGTAGCTTTATCTTACTCCTTTTCTTTTTCTCTAAGCATGGAGCTGGACTAAGAAATGCTTCTCTGTTGGAAGTGATGTCTCGATCCTGAAGCTGTTAGGTTAGTAAGTCATATTAGCACAATAATAAAACATCTGGATAATGTCATGCTAGACTGCAGTTCATTGATACCTCAAGGCCTAGTTCACAAGCCATAAAACCAGTGTGGTATTTGTTGGTAAGCTGGTATTCTGTACCTGTGTTGAATGTCCAGACTGAGGAACAAGGTTTTTTTATTACTGGCTGACATCATACTAGAAACTTGAGTCTAGAAAAGGATAGCTTACAAGAGTCTTCTCTCTTTTT